AGATTAACACAAAAAAATTAAAATTATAGATTACCAAATTTGGGAAGGTTTTAAAGTAACACTGCCCGTTCTGGTGGCCAAGCAGGATGTGCAAGAATATTCCCACTTCCAACACTGTGACTGGAGCAGTCCTCCATCATTCCCCTCCTTCAAGTGTTACTTTCTCAATATGGCTTCACCCTATTTAAAACTGCACCCCCATCCCCACTTCTCAATTCCCCTTATCTTCCTCTATTTTTCCAACTTATTGCCCAACACACCACATAATGTACTTATTATGTGCTTATTCTCTGCCCCCCACACCCCTGAAAATAAAGTTCCCAAGGACAAAGATGTTTTTCTTTCACTGATGTATCACAGGATGGAAAACTGCTGGGATATGAAAGGTGTTCAAAAATTATCTGTTTAATGAATAGGAAAATGCAACTAGTTAATTCCTAATTAAACTAGTTAATGTCTCTGTAGAAAACTTTGTTGACGACATGAATGTAAAAACCTTTATTTATTTTTATTTATTCATTTGAGAGCGAGCAAGTGCGTGCACGAATGGGGGGGGAGGGTCAGAGGGAGAGGGAGAAGCAGACTCCCCACTGAGCAGGGAGCCTGATGTGGGGCTCGATCCCAGGACCCCAGGATTATGACCTGAGCCAAAGGCAGACACTTAATGACTGAGCCACCCAGGTGCCCCAAATTTAAAAACCTTTAAAATGTACATACCAGTAATATCACTTCTAAGAATTTATCCTAAGTAAATAATCACTGATGTGAGCAATGGTTATCCAAAAGCTTATTCATCTTAGTTGTGAATTGTGAAAAACTGTAAACAACATACACTCAATATTGAAAAGGATATGGAATATTTAATGCTATGAAAAACATGCATGATAATGTTAGCTGGGGAAAAGTATATACCCAATGATTCCATTTTTGGATGTATATATAGATATGCTTAATAGGAACTAAAATATTAATTATGATACATCCAATTAATGGAATGATGGAATGCTAGATGAAGCTACTCACTGTGTCCTGATACGGAACCATTTCTTCTTCTTCTTTTTTTTAAGTAGGTCCCATGCCCAGTGTGGAGCCCAATGCGGGGCTTGAACTCATGACCCTGAGATCAAGACCTGCAAGACCTGAGCTGAGATCAAGAGTGGGATTGCTTAAGCAGCTAAGCCACTCAGGTGCCCTGCTACGGAACCATTTCTAAGCCTTAGTGAAAAAGGCATACTAAAAAAATTGTAAGGCTATACTATAAGGAACTGATACAGAATCAATTTCCAAGGTACACTGTTAACTGTAAAAAGCATCCAATATCATTTAATTAAAAAATTCAAGTTTATGTACTCTACTCTCTACTGGATAAAAATGTTAGAAATTTTCAACTATCTTTTCTTCTAAACTTTCAATATAACATTTTTTTTGAAAAATTAGGAAATAAAGCCATCTTTCCTTTAACTCCATAGATCAGGGAGTGCTAAAATGAGCAAAATCACTTTTCCAGTGCAAATAATTTTACTACCAAATTTATAAAGTTCTTTAACTTCAAAGAAAGTAAAAATTACTGTCCCAACTAACTTCCTAAGCTAAGTAACAAAATTATTAGATATGAAATCCATTCTGGAATCATGTTCCATAGAAATAATGTCAAAAGCAAACATAGTGTTAAATTATAAAAGCTTATGACAAACATAAAGGCACACACCTATTGATATATATACTGAAAACTGAATGACGAAAGAAAGAGATTTGTGCCCTTTTAGAGATACAGCCAGTGGGCCATGAAAGGGTACTTAAATTTTAACCCAGGCATCCTGAGGTACCTTAGCAGAAGCCCTAGTTTGCTCAGTTTCTACCTTGTTTGTCCTCAGACACATCAGAAGAACTGTCATTTGGGTGACAGCAATGGTTAGTACCGAGGGCTTTGGGGTCTATCATACCCGGGGTTGAATCCTAGAGCTTTATAATTTTCTATGGGAGTAATCTGGAAAATCTCAATTTCTTTATCTGTAAAGTAAAACAGAGATTATCATCCACTAGTTAATGTTAGTAAATAAGAGTACAGTGTCTGAAAAAGTGAAATGGAGACAAAATTCTTCAAATAAGACAATTAAAAATCCCCAAAGTCAAATCTTTCAGCACAGCAAAAGAACCCAAAGGAAACAAATATTAGAGAGCACTGAGCTGGAAGGCAGGAGCCCTGGATCCCAGTTTTGACCCTGCTACAACCAGCTCCAGCTTCATGGACATATTTCATGTATGTAGATTCTAATTTTAAGATCTACAAAATTAGGGGACTGAAATCCTTTCCACCTCTACTATACCATGACTAAATTACTAAGATGCAAAGGTTATGGCTGTACTTCCAAAAGTTTCCAAAATTTTTCATTTAAATGGTTAATTTTTGTAACTTCTTAATCAGTTTTCATCATGACTAAGCTACTAGTCATAACAATATATAGTAACATTTCCTTAACTAAATTATCCAAGGTCAGGTTGCTAAAAGTGGCAAAATCACAATTCAAACCAGATTTGACTCACTCCGAAGACCAAATTTTATGGCATGCTTCTTCCTCAGACCTTCTCCCTGACTAGTCTGGTAACTAGCAGCGTGCCTTTGCAAAAAGACTGGAAATCAGGAGTGCAGTCAGGAGTCATGGAGTAGAGTCAAGTTACCTGAGTCAGGTGGGGCTTGAACTTCTCACACAGTACTCTAACCAAGTTAATTAAACATTTCAGCTACTTAAAAGGAGTCTGGAGAAACAAAACAAAACAAAACAAAACAAAACAAAGGTAAAATTGTCCAGAAAAACTATTAACTGAAGACAAAAACAAAAATAAAGCACCTCTGAAACCACACGTAAATGAGGGTGGCTCATTTATATAAAAGTTCAAGAGTTAAAGTTGCACAAGATCAAATAGTAAAATAACTGCTAGATTGTCTTGTGCTATTCATTTGCTTTTGTGCAAGCATGTAAATAATGAACACAAATTATCCAGCAGTGAGCGAAGGAGTAACAAATAATCCAAAGCACATATATTCCACCTTAGAAATAAAGCACATGGTCGAAACAGATAATCCAAAGTAATGAATATCTAGTGCTAAAAATATATGATCCAGGGTGCCTGGGTGGCTCAGTTGGTTAAGCGACTGCCTTCGGCTCAGGTAATGATCCCAGGGTCCTGGGATCAAGCCCCGCATCAGGCTCCCTGCTTGGAGAGGAGCCTGCTTCTCCCCTCTCCTGCTCCCCCTGCTTGTGCTCTGTCAAATAAGTAAATAAATAAAACCTTTAAAAATAAACAAATTTTTTAAAAAAATAAAAATATATGATCGGGGGTGCCCGGCTGGCTCAGTCGGTAGAGCATGCGACTCTTGATCTCAGGGCGGTGAGTTCAAGCCCCACGCAGGGTGTGGAGTCTACTTAAAACTAAATAAGATCACCTATGTATATTTTCTTCCCGAATTATAGGCTATTCAGGTTGATACAAAATTAATTTCCATGTGAAGAGACCAGGACAGAATACAGTAAATAATTAAATTACCATCTCCCTACATCAGCAGAAAAGATAACGTTTTATAACACATTCCTATCAGCCCCACGGGGAATAACAAAACTAAGGCACATACAAAAAAAAGAGTAACATTTAAATTCCCACTGCAGACAAGACCCAGGTTAGCTCCTCGGCTGTTTCCGTTAAGCCAATCTGGGATTAAAAACTGGTTTTGAAATAATCCATACATGGATAATCAAGAGGCAAACACACACACAAACCACGTAGATAAACTCACATTTAAATGGGTAGGTTACCAAGCACTTTACAAAATAAAAAATTTCATAAGACAGCTGATGGAAATGGAGCAAGAGGTGAGGTCACCTACCACTTTAGCTCTATTGGTAGAAGTCATTATGTGCTCTTCTCAAACATTAGACAGCCACCAAAAACGACACAGACGCACCACATCTGGTAATATCATTCAGAAAGGTAACCTAAGAAAACCTCAGAAATGCTCGTTGTATCAGCCTAAGAAGAATGAAGCTGCACGCAACTCCACATAACATCAAGTAAATGGAAAAGTGTCAAGAAAATAATGCATTTATTTTTCTCCATACAAACTGACTAAAAGACAACTTCCAAGACACTGTGCAATTAAACGTTAGCCGGAGCTAAAAGTTCTTTAGACTAAGCCTCACTGGCAGAAGCCCTCTACTGGGCGTTTCTAAGATGTGACCAACTTTTGTGTTTCCCACAGTAGCGCTAAACCCCGGTTATGCATCCTGCTGATAAAACCGGACATGTGGCACTTAACACACCAAACCAGAATCGCCAACGGTGGGGGCTAAAGAACTCTGCCGTCACTACCGTGAGGCCCACTCCAGAAGGTATCTGCACTGAGCGCGAGGACTCGAGGTTTCCAGAGAAGAGCAGCAGCAACAGAAGCCGGCTGTATACACCGCGGTCCGCCCGCACACTGCAGGGCAGGCTCAGGAAGTTGACTAACCCCGGGGAAAGCTCCGAGCCCTCCTTTATAAACGGGAGCGTGTGGGCTGGCAGACCAAACTGCGGAAAATTCATTTAAGAACTCCCTGACGGCCTACCGTGCAGACGTAGGAGTCCAGTTAAGACTCGGGGAAGCAGGTATGGAAGAGACCACAGTCCACAAACTGATAATGATCTACCAGCTCCGCCCGGAGGCCCAGACTCGGGGAGGGGTGCCTCCTCTCCGGAGTTGGGGAGCTAATGTACCGGACGGGCGCTGGGCCTCCGCCAACAGCCCTTTCCAGCAGGCCCGGGGCTGCTAAGACCCAGGCCCGACCCTCAGCAACATCGGCTCCGTCCCACATGCTTCACTGAGCGCGACCCTCCAAGGCCACTCCGAGGCCATGTGGCCGGGGCCGCGCGGTGCCCAAACCCCGCGCACGTTCAAGAGGTGAAACCAGAGAGGAGGAGGTGCGGGAGGAAATCCAAAGAATGGGATGTTGGGGTACAAGACTCACTTCCTTTGGGCTTTGTCCTTCTTGGCCTTGGTCCTTTTCTTTCGGGCCTGGAGCGCAAGCACTGCAGGAGAGAGGGATGGATGAAGGGCGAATGTGGAGGAAAGGAGGCAACCAAGGTGAGGGTGGAGACCCAGCAGGGGCGCGAGGCCCGGGCGCGGGGCCTGCCTGAGGGGCGGCTCCGGGGCGAGCGCCGCGGCTTCGGCGAAGCGGCCGGCCGGGCGGCGGGCGGCCCACGGGGCGCAGAGCAGCGCCCAGGCGGGGTGCGCCGGCGGGGGCTCGGGCCGCGTCAGGGGGCCGGCGGGCGGGGGTCTGTTTGGTTCGCCGAGCGCCAGGCCCTGCAGCGGCCCCAAGGCGCGGGCCGGCCTGGCGGGAAACAAGGGGCGATGACTGCCGGCGCGGAAGGACGCCCGGGCTGAGGGGCGCGGACCCGCAGCCCAGAGGCGGGGGGTGAGGGGCGGCGCCACCTCAGAGGGGGGCCGCCGCACGCCCGGGGACCGGACTGCGGCGGGTAGGCGAAGCTCCAGCGCTGACCCGGGCCTCGCCCCGCCGGCCGTTGCCCCTCGTGGCGGAGGCCGCTCCACCGCTCACCTTTCCGCTCCATGGCGAGACCGGTAACCGCCAGGCGCCTGCGCACTCGAGTGGCGGTGACTCCCGCTCCCGCCGCGGCCCAAAACCAAGCCCGCGCACACCCCGCCCCCCAGTTCCCGCCCCGCCCCCGCCCTACGACGGCGCGCGCCTGCGCGTTGAGCGCGGAGCCTACCACCTGCTCGCCAGGAGAGGGGGGGCTGTATAGAATCGGGGGCTGGGAGGAGGAAAGAACGCAGGGTGTGAATGCTAAAGAGGTGCTGAGAACCAGCTTGGAAGCCTGGCGCGGTCAGGTTCGTTCTCTGTGCAGGGCTCTTGCCCCTAAGGAAAGGAGAGGAGCGTGGCTTTGAGGGTTCCCTGTGTGCTGAGTCAGTGCTCCGCAGCCAACAGGAGTCCGCCTCAGTTTCCTGGTCTGTAAAGTGGATTTAATCGGTCATGTCCCAGTTTCTTTGCCGAGCTCTTGTGGGGGGTCAGTTCAGATACTATAGAAAGAAAATGAGGGCGGGCGGCGAAAATTACAAGTGAGAAAGAAAAGAAAGTTGGAGCAGCACAAAAGAAAGCCTGGAAAGAAGGAGCCTGTGACCTTATCGTCACTCTAAAAGTGAAAACCTTAAATAAATGAAAACAAATTTTTAAAAACCTTTTAACTGAATTTCCTCTTAAAATTTCACGTTTATATGAAGGCTCTAAAGGAAGGAAGGGAGAGAACAAAGAAATTTTTTTTTTCATTTTACCACTTTATCATCTTTTCAGTACGTGATAAATATAGTTGTCTTGTAGGATGTTTTTATACTTTTCGAAGTGCATTATCTCATTTGATATTTATGACAACTTAAAGCAAAATATTACCTCCACTATACAAAGAAACTACAAGTTGGGAGTGTATGTGTACCCAAACTTGGGCGTCCTGATCCAATGATTCAATCATCAAACCCATATTGTAAAGCAAGGTTAGCAAAGTTTTTCTGTAAAGGGCCATATAGTAAACATTAAGCTCCCTCTCAGCTCTTCAGTTCTGCCCCTGGAGTGCAAAAGGAAAATAGAAAATAGGGGTTGTGTTCCAATAAAGCTTTATTTATGGTCCCTGAAATTTGCATTTCATGTAATTTTCACGTGTCATGAAATACTATTCTTTTGATCTTTTTCAACTATTTCAGTCATTCTTGGCTCAGGCCTTAGTTTGCCAACCCCTGTTGTAAAGTACTAAAGCTGAACAGGGTGTAAGCTTTGAAGACCCTTTCCCTAAAAGAAGTTAAACTCTACGGGGAAGACAGACAAGTAATTAATTGACTGAGAAAGGAAAATGAAAGTATAATAGTACTGCACAAGTGAAGCATGGGGGATTGGGCGGGAATTTATTGAGCAAAGTAAGTAATTAAATTCAGTCAGGGAGGAGGCAGCTTTTGAACTGGGTCTTAGGAAATGTGTAGGGTTTCCATAGGTGGAGAAAGAGATGTTAGGCATTCCTGAATGAGAAAATCAGTTGAGCAAAAAGGCACAGATTGGGAAACTTAAGGGTGGGGGCGGGGCTGGTAATGACTGAAGTGGAGGCCAGAAATGCGGGTTGGACAAATTTGAAATTTAGATAATTAATATCTGTTGCATGGAACCTGAATGATAGCATTTCTGGACATATTGCAAAAGAGGACAGCACCTGTTGGCCAAGGAAAACTGCGTCCCAGTTTCCTCCCCACTCTACTTGAGAACAAAAGGAGAGTTGGGACAGATAGTGAGGCCCTGGAACCTGAGGATTCTGCTAGCTCAGGAAAACATCGTGTGATTTAGAAAAGACAGGAGAGCTGTGGTGGCTGATGAAAAGTCCCAGAATTGGCAAAGTACTCTTCCACCAGAAAGTAAACTCTATGAGGGTAGGGACCCTGTTTGGATTTTCCTTGAGGTATCCTCAGTGCCTAGCATAGTATCCAGCACTTAGGATGTGCTTAAATACTGTCTGATCAAAGAACAGATGATGTGCAGTTTATGAGGAATTCTGGACGAGAGAGAGAAAACACTGAGTGGGACAACGTGAAGCTGTGCTGACACCCAAATGGGTTACTGCAGATTCATCAAAAAGGAAATAAGTTTAACTTAGCATGATTTTGTCACACCTATTCTGGCTCTGACTGATACTGCTTCTTTCTCTAAGAGCTTACTGTTTAAGAACTCATTTGAGAATTTTTCCAGAGTCAATGTCAAGTTCACTGGATTGAGTTCCCTGAATTGACCCTTTCTCCCTTTATTTTTTTCCCATTCTCTCAGCATGTTCAGTTCTCCACACTTTTTCTAAAATCTGTATAGTTGTTCATATGAGCTAGTTTGTTTCCCCCCTTTCTAAAGCTTATGCCTTTAAGAAACAAAACAGATGAACATAGGGGGAAAAAAAAGAAAGGCAAACCAGGAAACAGACTCTTAACTATAGAGAACAAACAAGGTTACTGAAGGGGAGGTGGGCGGGGGGATGGATTAGGTGGGTGATGGGTAATAAGAAGGGCACTTGTGAAGAGCACTGGGTGTTGTATGTAAGTGATGAACCACTGAATTCTACACCTGAAACTGGTATTACACTCTATGTTAATGAACTGGAATTAAAAAAAAAAAAAACCAAACTTGAAAAAAATTTTAGAAAAAATAAAGCCTGTGCCTTTTTTGTGCTTTTTGCTTTAAATGTAACTTTAAAAATCTCTCCCCACCCTCTCATCCCCAATTTCACAGGGCTTGTCCTATTCTGGGGATTTCATCCTTCCTCTTCAAGTGGTGGCATTCACCCATGCATACCTCTCTTGCACAACTGTTTTTCTCAAGTTCTTTTAAAAGAATTATTCAGAGAACTGTTCAGGAGCAGTGTCAGAATTTAATTTCTGAAAACATCCCATTCCCCGTGAGCTAGTTTATTAAGACTTCCCTGGGATCTTCCCTGATGCTTCTCTGAAGTTTTTGAAATGTGGTCACCTAAAGTTTAGGACACACATTTCATCAAACCCAACATTCCCTGCTTTGGTTACCACAAATTCCTACACTTAGTCCAAAGTGTTGATCTGAATTAAATCCAAAATATCATTTCCCTTTATAGCTTCCCCTTTGTCTTGTGAGATGAAATGGACAACAGAACAAAGTGAAAATATATCAGATGCTTAATTTTACAGATTCCCAGTAGATGTCTGCATGATTGGAGAAGCCCGACAGAATTTTATATGGTTTTGTGAAGTATACTGGGAAAATAATTATACTCTAGGCTGGAGTTCCAGGAATCACATGGCACATTCAACAGAAGAATTGAAGAGAATTGAATGAAAGGATTGAGTGTGGGTAAGTTTAAGGGAAACCAAGAAGGAATGGTGAGGCATCCAAGGACTAGCAATATATAATGTATAATATGTAATAGTCTTTACCACCCCTAGGCCTGAAGGGACAAAGGGTGGAGGTGTTAACCAGAACCCAATAGTCCCTTATATATTAGTCTGCTTAGGGCTGCCATAGCAAAGTACCACAAATTGGGTGGCTTAAACAACAGAAATGTATTGTCTCATCGTTCTGGAGGCTAGAAATCCAGGTGTCAGCAGGGTTGGTTCCTTCTGGGGACTCTGAGGGAAGGATCTGTCCTCTATCCTTGGCTTGTAGAGGATTCTGTGTCTCTTTATATTTTCTTCCTTCTATGTGTGTCTCAGTCTGTGTCCAAATTTCCCCTTTTCATAAGGACATCCGTCATACTGGATTAGGACTCATTCTAATGATCTCTTTTAACTTCTAACTCCTCTTTAACTTTAACCTCTGTAAAGATCCCATCTCCAAATAAGATCACTTTCTGAGGTACTGGGGGTTAAGACTCCAATATATCTTTTTTTGGGGGGGGGCAATTCAACCCATATCAGAATTGTAGTGATAAGAAAGATCTGCCGGAGGGCAGCTGTACCCTTTGATAAAAGGACATAACCACTGCCCAGCAGGGAATTCAATGCCCAACTTCTTACTCCTCTCATCCTCTCAGGCTAGCGCCTCCCATTGACTGAACCAACTGGAAGTTAGAAGGCAAGGGTGCCTGGGTGATGCAGTCCGGGCAAGCCAGCCTCCCAGGGCACAGAGAGGGTGGGGAAGGGTGGAGGGCTCATCTGGAGGGGCAAACAGAATATTCAGCACAGGCTGTCTGGGCAGTCTATAGGATACACCCAAAGTGGCTAGCACTTTCCAAGCAAGTAAGTCAGCCCTTTGGGCTCCCTGGCCCCTGCAGAGGCTTGAGAACAGAAGCTGCTCGGAGACAATCCCCTTTCTGGCTTTTTTTTTTTTTTTTTTTTTTTTCTATTAACGCTTAAGCTTCACAAGGAAATTGTGCTGGAGTGAAGGGTTGGGGAGGGTAGGGGAAAGAATAAAAACCTTGGCTTGGTGGAATGGGAAACTAAGTAAGTTCCTGAGGTCTCAACTCTGTCCTTTTGGATGCTCTGCCCACAGCAGGAAAGTTGGAGGGGAGAAGAGATTCTCCAGCGATGAGGAGGTTACAGAGATTGGTGGTTCCAGAGGCAGGTAGAGCCCTTGCTCTGCTCCCTGCAAGTGCTCGGGGAAACAGCAAGATGTTGCAAACTGAAATGAGCTGATCATGTCCAACTCTGCATTCTTTTTTGTTGGTAACCATACCTGCCAGAGAAGTTTGAAGCGATGAGGAGTTGCCTGCTCCGCATCCTCACTCCCAGAATGTGAAGAAAAATATTGCAGACTAAAATCTGCATCCCCCTACAACCTTTGTTAAACATTCATTAGCAGGTGGGCACAAAACAACTCTTATGACTCTGTAAGTTCTTTGAGGTCTCTCTTCTTTTGGATACTCTGGCCACGGCGTGAATGCTTTACTGCTTTACTCAAGGTGGGGTAACAGATCACAGAGGCAGGACTCTTGTCACCTGCCGAGTCAGCATCAGGGAACCAGAGACGGAGTCTCCTTTATAATTCGTTATGCTGTTCCAATCCTGATCAACCCCAGAGGTGTCATCAGAAACTCGTGAAATGAGTTGCCTATTAATTTGTGTAATGGATGTTATTAAA